ACAACAACAACAACAACAACACCAACAACAATAACAACAACAACAACAACAACAACAACAACAACAACACCAACAGCAGATCGGAGAACCGTCAACACCTCGCTCGCCACGATAACTCCATCTCACCTGGAGCTGACGTTGGAGAGTTTCTCGTAGTTGGAGAACCAGTCAATGCGAGTGACGCCTTCGAAGGGACAATCTAGCCGGGCTGCCTGGTACTTGAGGGCCAGTTGGAAGGGCGTGAACTCAGCCTCTCTCAGCCGGGGCGAGTCGGTGGCTGCAACAGAGACAAAAAATGAATGCAGTTTTGGCACATCTCAAATTAATGGGATAAAACAAGGGAAATCAACAAAGTTATCGCATGGGTGATTGGCGGGTACCCAGGTGTGGTTTGCTTCTTCTTTCCTGTCAAACATTTCACGTACGCCTACTTATCTCTCCTCCTTGTTTGTGTTTGTTACTCTCTTGTAACATCTCTAGTCTTCGGCACTTATATGACATTATTGTGTCGCATGTTCTGTAACACTCCACCTAAACTAAGTTATCGCATACCCAATATGAATAAAAAGCTCTTTGGTAGCTTAGAATGATGATGTCATGCAGGACTTCAATCTAAGTGACCATAATTTGGATCCACAAGCAGACATTTTTAGGTTGTTTGTCCATCAAAGCTGAAACAACCCAATTTTTTTTGTCCATAGGAGGCGACTCTGTCTGTTCTTGTTCAACGTTCGTGTCCACAAACGGGTTTGGAGAAGTTTTATCAAGTACCTTTGTCTTCCTGCTGGAATCTGTTGTATCCCGCTCAGTCCAGGCGGGCCCTGACAGGCCGGGCGAAGCCCTTCTCCCGAATAATCTAAATTGTGTCGATGTGGGCGTATAACGCCTCCATGACAAAAAAACCCCGTAGCGCTTACACGACACAGAGGCTCTAAAAACTTCCAAAACTTCAACAAAACGCCCATTTCCAACTGGACCCCCCAAAAAAGAACAACCAATAAAGGGACCGGATTCGTACTAGGACCTTATGCCCGCCAGGTCTCTAAAACGGCCTCAGCTTTAAAGCAGAAACAACACAGCTCTAGCACGGTCGCCTCCATTAATTTGCTGCAACGACAAATGATGCATTTATTGAGGAAACTGTGCGCCGACTTAACCCAGGCGTCCTTTTCTAATTTGGAATGTCATAACATGCACGATTTATACATTATCGCAGGATTTACACGCCAGCACAAGAGATTTACACATCAGAGCAGCATTCCTACAAAAGCATTAAAGATTTAATTTTTCATTCCAACTCTGAGTTAGGGCTTTTTTTTTGGGGGGGGGGGGGAAGGATATAAGCGCATGTCGTCTACCTTCCCAAGAAGGACATTCTGTTCTTTGTCATGCATTTGATTAATATAACCTTTTACAAGTGGAAAGTAGTTTCTCAGATGATTACGACTAACATTCTGTCATTTATTACATTCGTGTCGTTTCCATTCGTTCTAGTTACATAATTTTATATACACTTTATTAGAAAAAACGATTAACAATCACATCACGAATTAAAAGATGCTATATAAGTTAAACATTGAACTCACGTTCACCGTTTAGGAGGATATTTTGGCTATACATCGATTTCATTGATACTCTTTAGAAGGAGGTTACCGTCAGAATAACTGTTGAACAATATTTTAATTTGTAGGACGATTTTTACGTTTCGGATGGATTTTACTGTTTAGAAGGAGGTTAACGTCAGAATAACTGTTTAACAATATTTTAATTTGTAGGACGAATTTTACGTTTCGGATGGATTTTATCCTTATACATGGAGCATTTAAGACGAATTAACAGTCGTACACCTAACTCACTATTAATCTATAGATTGAAATATTTTATTATGTATTGATTGAACTCCCTCTTAACGGCTAAGAGGAAGATATAGGCTGAACTCACCATTAAAGTTCAGCATGTAAACACCCATAAATTGAAGTCTCCTTTAAAGTTAAACATCAAGTCCTTTAAAGCTAAGCATGAAGTGATTCATAGACTGAACTCACCTTTGACGTTTAGGATGAAGTTCCGATCACTGTCGACGGCCCCTGCCATGTTCTCGGCGCGACAAGAGTAGACGCCGTTATCCTCTCCAGTCACGTTGATCAACTTGAGTCGTTGGCCTCCATCCAGAATACGAACCTTTTCCTTGTTGAAAAGTCTGTGAAAGAGAAGAGAAGGAAACAAAATACTGTAAATATTTCTTTGCGTATCATTTTTTTAAAAAAATACTGAGATTTTTAATGTCCCATCGACACAATGTAGATCATTTAGAAAGCGGGCTTCCGGTCCTACCAGCCGTGTTCAACTCGGGCTGAGAGGGATATAACACCTCAGCGGAAAGACTGATTCGAGACACTTGATAAACATTTTCTCCCCACTCGGGAATCGAACTCGGGTCTCCTGCGTGCAACAGCGATGCTGCTAACCATTTCACCAAAGATGTCGGTTACATATTTGAGTGCTAACTTTAAAATTAAGGTGAATTCAAAGGTCTAAGATGAATGACTTGAGAGTTCGCCGTGGTATTAAAACCATACTGCACTATTCTGTGAATGCCAAGATTATACAAGGCTTATAAACATTTTGCACCGAGTTTTGAGGTGTGTGTGTGAGTGTGTGTGTGTGTGTGTGTGTGTGTGTGTGT